TTTTTTTTTTTTTTTTTTTTTATTTGGCCATAATAGATATCAAAATGCTAGGTTAAATCTTTTAGATTTTTTTTTTTTTTCTTTTCTTCTTTTTTTTTTGTAATAGATTAGAAATAAAAAATATATTTCTAAAGGAATAGAATTTATATTAATTATTTTGAAATAAAAAATGAATATTTAAAAAAGATGTTACAAAGAAATATTAAATCTGTGTATTTTTTTAATAGATGCAAAAAAAAAAATGTAGAAAAAATTGTATTGAGAATCAAAAATTCAGCTGATCATTTAGTTAAAGAGTTTTGCACAAATAATACAAGATATAGGAAAATAACCGTTATTCCATTTGACAAAAATTCAATAAAATTAGAATATAAAAATATTCCTTTTGATTTGGATGATTTAAATCAAAAGAGTAAAAAAGATATATTAAATATATATAAAATTATAAGAGATAAAAATGAATTAAGTAAATTTCCAAATGATTTTGTAGACAATTTATTTGAATGCACGAAAAAATATGTTCGTTCATTGTTACCATATGAATTTGTAAAAATATACAAAACATTAAATATTATTAAAAAAAATGATAAGCAATTAAATTTATTATTGCATCAACAAATAAAAAGGATTTATAAAAATTTTGATATAACAAGTATAAGTAAATTATTTCAAATTTATGTTTTTACAAAATCAAAACCGACATATTTAATAAAACAATTGTCGGAAGTATTTATGAATAATATAAATGATAGCAAGCCATGGAATATAAGAGAAATTATATCCATATTTTGTTATTTTAAAATTGATACAAAGGAGCATACTGATTTAATTTATAAAAAATGTATTCCTCATATATCAAAAAACATAATGAATTATACACCAAAAGATATAACATTAATTTTTTATAGTTATGTAAAAATGAATAAGCAAAATACTATTATATCTAATGTAGTAACAAAAAATGTAATTTTAAAAATAAACAACTATCAATTTTATCAACTAGCAATTATATTGAATAGCTTCTCGAAGATAGGAGAAAAAAATAACAAATTATGTAAAGTAATATGTGATAAAATTAAGAAAAAGATAGAATATTCTAAAAATTCAAATAATAGTTATGATTCAAGTTATGCTAGTAATTCAAACAACTTAGATAAATATAAATACGATAACCATATTAATTTGAATAAATGTAGTAATAATAATATTACTTATAATTTAAATGATTCATCTAGCAAAAGAATTCAAATTACAAATAAAATAAATGTATGTGATGATGAAGTAACAGAAATAAACGAAGAAAGTTATACCGCACAACAAATCAACTTAAAAGATAATAAAGAAAAAATAAATGAAAAAGACAATTTATTAGAATCACAAATATTAAAACCGAAAGATGTTTCCATTATATTAAATTCATTAATAAAATTAGAATATTATGATAATGAAACATTTAACTGTTTAATCCCGTTTATAATAAATAATGTTTCATATTTTTCTCCACAATCTTTAAGTAATTTAGTTCACGCCTATTCACATATTCAAATAAATAACACGTTGTTACTAGATAAAATTGTGAAGGAATCAATAATGAAAATTCAAAAATTTAAAAATATAGAAATGAGTAATTTAGCTAATTCACTAGTTAGATTAAATAGAAAAGATAAGACATTATTTACATATATTATAGATGAATTTTTATACCGTGCAACTATAGGATCAAAATTTTTAAATTATGATTTTGATATTTTATCATTGCAACAATTTGCATATTCATTTAGTAAAATAGGATTAAATGATGATAAAGTATACATTATTTTATATAAATTATTAGTAAAAAAAATTAATCAAATAAACAAAAAAAACAAAAAATGCAACAATTTGATAAAAATAGATGAAAAAGAAAATAAAAAACAAAAAATAGAGGTTGTAGAAAACACGGATGTAATTCCAAGTAGAAATAATAATCTTATTATGAAAACTAACATGAATTTTGAAAATAATTTTGATTTTTTTTCTTTGGCTACATTTATAAATTCGTACGGTAAAGTAAAAATTCATTATAAAAATTTTTCTCATTTTATCAGTTATATAATAAGGAAAAAAAAAAAAAGTAATGAAGTTCTTTCTAATCAATCCTTAAGTAATATAATATATGGTTTACTAAAATTAGAAATTAAAGATAAAAAAATATACCAATTTTTATTAAAAGAATGTATTGAAAAAATAGATTCATTACAACCATTACAGATAGTGTTATTATTATATTCTTTTAGTAAATTAAAAATATATTCCTATAAATTTGTTAAAAAATCAATTCAAATGTTAAGTATGAACATTAATAATTTAAGTTTATCTGATATATCATTGACTTGCTATTCTTTATCAAATTTTTTATATAGAGATGTAATTTTTTTATATAAAGTTAATAAAATTATTCTTTTAAATAATTATGAATTTAATTCAAAAAATGTTTCTCAATTTTTTAATTCTTTCACTAAATTATGTTTTTATCATAAACCCTTTTATGATCTGATATTTCAAAAAATTCAAAATTTTATGCATGAATTTAATGAAAAAGAATTAACAAATATTGTATTTTCTTTTATTTATTATTTTCACATGAAGATATTGCATTTAAATTCTTTGCAAGATAGTTCTTTAAATAAAAAAAAAACTTTTGATATAAAACCTGCTATTGAAGATAATTCAAATAAATTAAAGAATAAATTGAGTGAAATACAAATAGAAAATATTTATCCTATTAATGAAAAATCTGACAATTTAATTGATAGAGAAAATATGAAATGTGCAAATTATATTAATAGAAATAATAAGAACACATCTAATTGTGATAATAAGAATAATATATTTGAATATACGAATAAAATTAATAACAATATAGATATTAATGAAGAACTTTTTAAAAATGAATTAAATTTATTTTTTAATTTAATATATATTTTGAATGAAAAATATCGTCAGAAAATATCTTTGATTAGTGTGTATCAATTACAAATTGTTGATTTATATTTAAGAGCAATTTTTTCTAATTATTTTCAGTTTCCTATTTATTTGAAAAACTTTTTTTTTAAATGTAGAAGTGTTAAATTAAACATAGATGACTATATAATATTATCATCAAAAACACATAGAAATATTTCGAAGTTTTTGAATTTAGTCGGAATAAGTCATAGAAGTGAAGTTCAATTCGGCCCATATCAGTTAGATATTGTAGTTGATTTTTTACAAAATAAAAAAAAAATGTTTGATGTGAATAGTTTAGAAAATAATTCAAGTGATAATAGTGATAATGTAATTTATAAAAGTAAAAGATTAGAAAAAGAATTAGTAATTAAAAAGGAAAATGAAAATAAAAATGTAGTAATTGAGAAATTATTGAACAAAAATATTTTAATAGAAGTAGATGGCATATCTCATTTTTACAAAGAAAGTTTTAGTAGAACTCTTAACTCAATTATAAAAGATTTTATTTTAAAAAAATTTGGATGGAATATAATACATATACCATATCAAGAATGGAATCAATGTTTTAATTTTAAAAAAAAATTATTATATTGTATACATATATTGAAATATATATTAGAAATAAGTAAAGAAGATATTTGCATAAAAGACTTTATTCATTTTATTAATAATAATAAACAGAAAGAAAGTTATTATTCAAAAGTATCAGTAAATAATAACATATTAGATAAGAATATGTATTGTGAAGAAAATGTAAATATTGAAAATATAAACACAGACAAAATAAACGATAATACTTTACCTGAGTACTATAAAATTAGTGAAGAAACTATTTTTTTAAATCAAATAAAGAATAGAAATAAACACCAACAAAATATTATGAAAAAACTTAGAGAAAGTGCAAAAATTCAGTATAATTATAATATATCATGTCAAAAAAATGATGCATCTAAAAATCAAAAAAATATTTCTAATTTATTTTTAAAAAATGAAGAATCCGATAGTGAAGATGATGAAAATTAATAAAATCTAACAAAATTTAAACTAATAGATTATATTAATTACATACATAATTATTTTATTTCCATAATTAAAAGTTCTATATGTATATTTATATATATATATATATATATTTTTTTTTTTTTATAATATAAAAAATTATATGAAAATAATTTTATCTCAATAGCTAAAAAATATTCTTCTTGGTAATTTATAAAATTATTTTATTATATTTAAAATGTCCTATTAATATAATTTTATTATTTATTTTTTAAATCATAATTTTAATTGATTTGAATTCATTTTTTTTTTTTTTTTTTTTTTTTTTTAATTAATACACACACAATCTTTTAATATATTGTAATTAAAATACATGATCATATTATTACATTTATAATTTGAAATATTTTTTGTTTCAATTTTATTTTATTTTTAAATAAGAAAAAAAGTATTATTTTCTTTTTATATATATTCCTAAAAAATTTGGAATTAAATTATCATTTTTTTTGTCCTTATTATTAAAGAAATAATAGAATTATATATTTATGCAATATTTCTAGTTATAGATTATGTTTCCTTTACCTGCAACATCAAATATAAATATAAATTTTTCCAAATGTTAATTTACTAATTTTTCTTTTACTTCATTTCGTTACATGCCTTTTTTTTTTTTTAATCATTAACAAAATAAACACATTTTTTTATAAAGATAAATTTTTTTTTTTTTTTTTTATTTCGTTTTTCTAATAAATTCAATATATTTTTAATATTTATTCTACTTGAATACGAAAAAAAAAATTCTTTTTTTTTTTTTTTTTTTTTTTTTTTNTTTTTTTTTTTTTTTTTTTTTTTTTTTTTGAATATAAAAATACATTTGAATATGTGATTATATAAGAATTTAAATTATCTAAATATAAAAATATAATTAAATATTTGACAAATATTAAAAAAAGAAAGTATATAAAAATAAGAAAGTTGTAAATTAAATTATAAAAACATATTTTATATATTTCTGATACCAAAATTTTGTATATATATATATATATATATATATATATATATATATATATATAATTATTTGTTTCTGATAAAGAATAATTCTAAAAGATAATTATGAAATCTATAAAATAATTAATCATAAGTACTATAGAAAATATATAAAGTTTTTTACCTTTCCTTTTTTCATAAATAAATGTTCTTTTTTTTATTATTAATTTGAAATAAAATAACATTTTTTCTTTCTTTTAATGATTAAATAAAATAAAAAAAAGTAGATTTATTATTCTATTTTATTTAATTATTTATTATTTTATTTATTTTTTTTTTTTTAATAGTCTCCGATTTTTGGTGCTAAGAAGAAAGTTAAATGAGAATTTTCTTGTAAGTCTGCTATTTGTTGTTTAAAATTAAATTTAATTGATATTGGTATATTTGGTGATAGGGATATTAAAACTTCATCGGATAAAGATGAAGCTCTTGAAAACATCACTAAATATCTTGTGGCAAATTCTTGTGAGACAGATTTAGTACAAGTTATTGATACGTCTGTCATATCATTTGTAAATTGTTTTGTTACTTTTATATCAGATCCTGTTGTACTTAAAATCATAGTATCTTTTTTCATTGATATGGATACATTATCCCCAATTGAATTTAAATATTTTGTGAATTCTTGAAATTTTTTTGACTTCATTGTACATTGGCAATGATATTCAGATTGAGGTATTTCTAGATGTTCCTTTTGTGCATTAATTAATTTAACTTGGATTTCTAATGAATCGTCTGAACTCGATTGTTCTTCTTCATCTATTATTCCAATATTTAAGACAGCATCATTTTCATTATCTTCTTTAAACAAAAACACAGTTGACTTTTCTTTTATTACAGATAATATTTTTAACATAAAATTTATACTTATGCCAAGAACACAATTTTTATCACATCTAATAAAAAAAAAAAAAAAAAAAAAAAAAAATTCATTAAATAGAAATAGAATGACAATAACACAATTTTACATTCCAATGCAAAAAATTATACAGCATAAATATATATGATTATATCAATATAAATATATAATCTTAATAAATTTAATATCTTTAATGATACTATATTTTTTAAAAACAATAAACCTGTAATGTTGAAAAAAGTCTGATACAATATTTAAATCAACTAATGATACATGACTGCAATCCATTGATTGCATTTTAATTCCATTCTCATCACATTCTAAGTTCACTTCTGTACATATATCTTTTAATGTTTCAAATAATTTCTTAAAAAATTGTCCATCTATTCTGCATTCAAACATTTTTGCTATAAATTATAGTGAGAGTTTTAAACTATTTTATTAGTTCTTTTTTTTTTTTTTTTTAAGTATTAAAGACTAATTTAAAAGGATTTTGATTTTAAAAGGGTATAAGGGTTTCATAAGAATATATTAGAATATATAAATTTTTTTTTAAAATAAATTTACAGAAAAAAAAAAATACATGTAATTTAAAAAAAAAAAAAAAAATATACAAAATGAAATTATTTTAAATATTTATTAAAAAAAAAAAATAAAACAAAGTATATATTTTTAGAAAATATATAAAAAAAAATTCATATGGAAAATGAAAATACAGATGGTTTATTTCACTAATATTTGTTAAGAGTATAAAAAGCTCTTAAATACCTAATTTTTATATATGATAAATAAAAATATAAAATGAAAAAAAAAAATTTTAATAAGCATATAATTATTTTAATATTCAAATAAGCTAAAAAAAAGATTTTATTTTATTATTTTTTTTTTTTTTTTTTTTTTAATATACCTTTTATTTTTATATTTGCATAGATGTATATATTTACTTATAATAATATTTATACTGATTTCTCAAACATTTCGTTATTATTTTTTTAAAAATATGTCTAAGAATAGATAATTTTTTATATAGAAATAATTATATTAAGCGATATATAAAAATAAAAAATTATAAAGCAGAAATTAAGATACGATAAATTCTATTAAGTCTTCGGAAGAATATGTTATCATTAGGTATAATAAATTTGAAATTTTTAATTATTGTAATTATTTTTTATTTTATTATTATATTTCCATATGTTCATTTATATAAATAATTTAAAAATTAGAATAATGTGAACAAAAGTAAAAAAAAATGAGGTCTAACGAGAAAATATAAAAAAATTGATAATTTTCAGTGAAATTTTTATTCCTTGTTAAGACAATACTTATTATTATAAAAATTTTGTATTTTTAAAAAGCTTTATGGTTTTTATAATTTTAAAAAAATTAAAGAGATAAAATAAAAAAAAATTTGTCTGAATAATAAACATTATGAAGAATATATTTAAATAGAAGTTATGAATTAAATATAAATAATATTCCCTGAAATAAATCTCATAATTTCTTCAGTAAATGTATAATACATCAACATTTTTAATTTTCATAATTGTGTTATATGATAACATATTTTTTTCTTTTAAACAATAAATGAATATAAAAAAGGAAATTTAACAAATAAGAAATAAAAACATTAATTTTATAATAAAGGATATGAAAATTTTTTTATAATACTAATTTCCTTTAAAATTTATTTTATTTAATTTATAAAAATTTTAATAGTTTTTAATTATATATCATTTGTAAGAGATTAAAAATAAAATAAATAACAAGATAATTATATTAATTTAAATATAGTAATATAAACATTTTAAAATTTAAATATGTTAAAATTATATTAATAAAATCAATAAATATGAAATATCTTATATGATGTAATCAACTTTTAATAATTTTACTTTTTATCAAATCCATTTTTTCCTTAATTCATTGAATTTGCTTCTTTCATTTTTTTTTTTTAAACAAGAATTGCAAAAAAAAAAAATCAAAAAAAAAATATATATGTATATATTTAAATAGAGAATTAAATAAAATAATTTAGGTCATTAAATTATGAAAAGAATGATAAATTTTTAAATCATTTTAATTTATATAATACATCGAATTTCTGAAATTATATATTAAGAAAATTTACAATTTCAGAAAAAACAATTTGAATTAAAACAATTTTTTAAAATGAAAAAAAAATAATTAAACAACTTGTAATTAATTATATCGATTTTTAATTAAATATTAAATAATTTAAATAATATTATATTATATCAATAATAATCAAATAAATAAAAAAAAAAAAAAAATATATTTTCATTTTAGAAGTAAAATTTTAAAGAATATCAGTATTTTTTTGCATATTTTATAATTTTTGCTTATTTTTTGTAAGTTTATTTTTTTCTACGTTGAGAAATCAAAACAACTAAGTCTATATACATGTTTTGCAATTTACATATATATATTATTTGAAAGGTAAAATTCTATTAAAATGAAATTTCATAAAAGAAAAAAAACTTTAAAAAAAAACAGAAATAACAATATTAATCATACAAAAAATAATAATGATTCTGAAATAGAATCAGATGATATATTATCATCAGCAGAATCAAATGACAATAATTTGGCTCTTTTACATAAAAAAAAAAAAATAAATGATAATATAAGTGATGATGATGTAAATGATAATAATAATTCTAATGACGACGAAAATGATGATATTTTTAACAATCCAGAGGAGAGAAAAATATATTTAGCTAAAAAATATTTAAAAGATTTAGGTGTTCAAAGTTCAGATAGAGATAATTCTTCAGAGTCATCAGTAAATAGTGATGATGAACAAAAATTAAGTAAATTAAGTAATGATCTTTCTTCTGATGAAAATGAAGAAAAAAAAAAAATAATAAGTAAAATGCTAATGGAAAAAGAAAAATCCAAAAGTGTCAAGTCTATTTTAAATTTAGGAAATAAAGTAAAAATATTTTATGATGAAGTATTATCTACGAAATCATTAAATATCAATAAAAAAGATACAAAAAACGTTGACACCTTGAATAATAAAATTGATGAAAATGTCATATTTTTTCGTGGACACAAGAAAAGTGTTACTTGTGTTGCATGTCCCGATTATAATTTATCCTTTTTAGATCAGTACGATTATACATATAGTAATAATAAATATAAAGGATACAATAATGGAAAATTTTACGAACATGATAATAATAATACTGAGAATTATTCTTTTAGTTGGCATGATAATATTAATTATAACGACAATAATGTAGATCATAAAGAAATAATTATTGAACCAAAAATATTTGAAAATACATCAATTAGTACAATTTATACTGGTGGAAAAGATGCTTGTATTATAGAATGGGATTTAATTAAAGGAGAAAAGGTTCACATCTATAAAGGATGTTCAAGTTCTTATACAAAATTTGGGAATAAAGGTATAAATCATTTTAAGAGTGTTATGGATATTTATTGTCATAAATTTAATTCTTTTTTTATATCTGTTGGTTCTGATAATTTAATAAATGTATGGGATAATAGGATAAAAAAGGAATGTATAAATTCAAATGTTGGTCATAAAAATATCATAAGTGGAATAATTGGATGTAATGACACTACTGAAGAATTACATATTGATCATAATTTTTTTACATCATCATATGATAAAACAATTAAATTATGGGACTTACGTTTTTTTGATAAATGTATAAATACCTATTTAGGTCATACCAATAATATTTTGAGTATGAATTCCATAAGTCAAAATAAATTAGTAACTAGCTCTAGCGATTATACATTACGTATATGGAATACAAAAAATGATAATCATATTTTGTATAGTATAAATTATGAAATTATTGAATCTTGTTGTACACTTAATAATAAAATATTTATTGCTGGAACATTTTCTGGTCATATTTATATTTTTACATCTTCATATAAAAAACCTATTTGCATACAAAAAAATGCACACAGTGCATATTCTATAACAGCTCTTATAAGTATTCCTTTTACGAATATATTTATTTCTGGATCTTATGATGGATATGTTCATTTTTGGGAGTACAAAAATATTAACAAAATAGCTGGAAATGTTAATAAAATTCTGACTGTTCAGATTTATGGTACTATAAATAAATTTTCATTTTCACATAATTATAAATATTTATTTATTGCTGTTGGTAATGAAATGAAACACGGTACTTGGACAAGAACAAAAAATAAAAGTGGATTAGCAATTATACCCTTACATTTTTTATCCTAATTATTATTTATAAATATAGAATATATATATATATATGTGTGTAGTAATATATGCTATTGTATAAAATGCAATACTTCAGGTAGTATATAAAATAATATAAATTTTTTAATTTATATAAAAATATTTAATATTATCTATTTTAATTTAGAAATTATTTTTACCAACTTTTAATGATAACATTTACATTTTTGTTAATTTATTAAAAAGGTAAATTTTTTTTATCTGTTTAAATGTTTATTATTTTAAAAAAAATATGAAAATTTTTATTTTTTATTATCTAATTTATTTCCTTGTCTTGTTATATTGTTATAGTTTTTTTCCTTTTTTTTTTTTTTTTTGTTTATTAAATCTTTTAAATATATTTAAAATTTTGAATATGTTAAGAAAAATTTGTCTATTTTTTCTTTAATTCATATTAAAAATTAAAATTATAAATATTTGAATTTTTAAAAGTTTGTTATACACCTTATTAATATAATAAATTATTTTAGAATATATTAAAAAAATATTAAAGGAAAATAAAATGATATGAAATATTTATAAATTATGAAATATAAATCATTTCTAAAATTAAATATTGTATCATTAGAAACATACATTATTTAAAAGAGCAATTTTTTTTTATATATTAAAGATTAACCTTACTGTAAGTATCCTAGCGAAACAGTATTCGTTATTTTGTAATTAATGTACTAAGCAAATTTTTTTTAGTTCTTCAAAACAAATTTTATTTAAAAAAAGATAAAAAAGAATTAGATGACAAGCTTTTTTTTTTTTTTTTTTTTTTTTTTTTTTTTTTCAATATATATGTTACTATTAAAAGGAGTTGTTTATAATTTGTTTTGCTTAGCTACCATATTTCTTCCATCTTAAATGAAACGATACAAATGTATTAACATAAATGTTTAATTTATGATAAAAAAAAAAAAAAAAAAAGGAATCCATAAATAAATTTTTGAAATATTATAATTTAACTGATAATCTAATATTTATATTTTTATTACTAAATTTTTTTAAAATGGATTTCTAATTTTCATTTGTTCCTTGTTATTATTTATTAATCTATTTTTTCTTTTATTACATAAATTATGTTAAAGTTACAATTTTACAATTATAATATATAAAAACATTAAAAAATATTAGACAAATTTACAAATAAAAAATATTCTAATTTTCTTTTATAATTTTTGAATTTCTTCTTGTATTTCAATATATTTTAAATAAAAACTCTAAAATTATAACATTTTTACTTTTTTTCTGCATTAAAAATTGTTTATTTTATTTTATTTTATTTTATTTTTTTATTTATTTATTTATTTATTTATTTATTTTATTTTATTTAATTTTTTTTTTTTTTTTTTTTTTTTTTTTTGCCAATATAGAGTGTTAAAAATTAATTTTGTGTACTAAATTATATTTATTTATTTGTTTCATATGTTTCCGTGTATAAATTAATTTTTTTTCAATCTAATAATTAATAAAATTAAGAAATATAATGTAATGCTCATATATAATATTTCTTTTAAAATTATTTTTACATAATAAAAACATTATAAAGAATTTATATGACATATTTATTTATTATAATATTTTTATTATACTTATTTCATTTCTAATATCTTCATTTATTTTTTTATATGAATTCATTTGTCTTTATTATTCCAATTAATTTTTGAAGATATACAATACATATTTTTGTTTTCTTAAAATTATTATAGATATTTTGACATTATACAGATATATATAAATTTTAAAAAATTAATATGATAATTATCTAATAATATACTAATGGTGATGATAAGTAGTGATATTTTATCTAGTGAAACTAAAATGGACGACAAACCAGTTGCCTTCTTAATTTTCTTTTTAGTAAATTTAATTTTTTCTATTTTAATTTTCTATATTTGTTTAAGAGAAGATCAGAAAGTAAAGTAAGAAATAATTTTAAAAAATAATACAGAAAATCTATAAATTTTATATTTATTAAAGACAAATTCTTTTTATTATTTTTTATATAAAGTTGTTTACTTCAATTTTCGTATTTGAGAATATAAACATTTGCATCACTTAATTTTTTTTTTTTTTTTATTCAAAAAGACATTTATTGTTTTTAATATTTAAAAAAAAAAAAACCAACCATAATTTTTTTTTCTATATAAATGTATAAAAAAAAAAAAAACATTTTTTTATTCGATTTTTATTTTTAGATATGAAATAATTAAAAATGAAGAAATGAAAGAATTTGATGTTTAAAAATGCAAAAACGCACTAAAGAATAAACTCACTGATAGAAAAAATGATTTAAAGCTTTTTTTATATTGAATTATACAAACAATTGAATGGAAAATTTTTCTTAAAAATATTTCATCGACTTTTATACATAATTCTATGTATAACAACTTCATGTCCTAATATTTTTATTAAACGTATAATAGTAAAAAAATTTCATATTTTAATATTAAAAACTAGTTTTCTTTTGTTAAATTTAACTATTTTTTTTACCTATTTACACTCTTTTTTTATGTTTCTTTATTATTTTAGTTTTTATTTTTTTATTTTTTTTTTAATATACTTATTAAATTTATTAAGCTATTCCTTCTTTAACAATTTCTTTGTTAAAATTAATAAAAAAAATTTTTTTTTTCTCGGTTATTTTGATTTTAAATTCTTATTAATTTTAAAAAACACATATATCACATAGTTAAAATTTTTCAATTAAACTAAATATTAGTAATTTTTTATTTTTTTATATTCATAAAAATTTAATAATTTTTTTCTCCACCTGAAAGCATTCCACTGTATTAAGATGAATAGATTAATAACACGATTTTCCTTATAAAAGATTATAATTTATTTATTTATTTGAAAAAGTAATGATTTTATAACAAAAATTATAAAAAAAAATTTTAAAATGAGCAAAAAATATGTTTATTGGGAAAAACAAGGTAATGACCGTATGTGCGGCCTTCATTGCATAAATAGTATTCTTCAAGTAATTAAAAAAAAAAATTATATATTTCATAAAATAATATAAAATTAAATAAATATATAATAGTTTAATAATAATATATAAGAAATATAACAAATAATGGTGTAAAAATATGCTCTATTAAATAAATATAAATGAATAATTCTTAAAATAAAAAGTGATATGTATATATATAAATATATATATATATATATATAAATAGAGTAAATTTCACATATTCATTTTTTTTTTTTTTTTTATTATTCTATATATTTAATTTATTTTAATATCAAATATATATTTTATATTTTGTTTCATTTTATTTTTTTATAAATATACAAAAAAATAAAGGGCCCATATTATAGTGAAGATACATTAGCAGAAATAGGAAGAGAACTCGATGATAAAGAAAAAGAATTTTTTAAATGTTCTAATGAATTAGTAAGAAATAACTCATCGAATGTATTAGAAGATGGTTTTATAAATATTTCCGTTTTAATAGAATGCTTAAAAAGGAAAAATATATTATTAAAGAATGTTTTAGAAGAAGATTTGATTAAAATAATTTCTAGTAATCACCAAGATATTGGTTATATATGTAATTTAGAACAGCATTGGTTTAGCATACGTAAGATTTATAATACATGGTATGTATTAGACAGTTTAAAAAGTGCTCCTTTATTTATTAAAGACATGAATTTAAAGTTTTATTTTAATGATGTTATTAAAAAATATCATATATTTTCCGTTCAAAATATAAATCCATATATATCTTTACCAAAGCCAGATATAAATTTTGAAGCAAAAAATCCAAATCAATTTTATATACCTACAAGTGAGATATCCGAAATATCTTTTATATCTGATGGCTTTATATCAGAGGATAAATTTCATATGAACAGATCAGAAAAAAATTCTTCGTTTTCACACTTAAATAAAAGTCAAAAATTTAGGTGGCCAGAAAATGGAGGAAAAAAATTAAATGACGAAATAAATGTAATTAATTCTAATAACATGGAAGAAGATGATGATTTAAAAATAGCTTTAAAATTGTCCATGGAAGAATATTTTAAGGTTTATATTGAAAATATACATAAAGAGATATGTAAAAGATGTTTTAATTCAACATATAACATTTTTATTGCTTTGTAATTTATTTAATTATATTCTAATATTTTTCTGTTTTACTTATTGTACAGAATTTGCCACCTCCACTTGAAGAAACTTCCGATGAAAATTGTATCAATATTATGGTTAAATTGTCCAATAAAAAAATTCAGAAGAAATTCAGTGTTACAAAAACTTTAGGAGTATGCTTAAAAGCATTAAACAGAAAAAAAAAAAAAAAAAAAAAAAAAATATATATATTTTTATTTAAATATAAAATGAAAAGTACTTATTTTATTTTGTTATATCACAAATATGTATGTTTATTTGTATATATAGGATATCTTTTATTGGATAGAATATGAATCCGCAAAAAATCAAGACATTTGTTCTTCTTTACTCTTTAGAAGTAATTATTATCTTTTTCAAATTTACCCAAGGTATCCATATATATATGAAATATAAAATAATTACTTAATAATAATAAACAAAATTTTTCTCGTATAATTTTTCTTAGAAGAAAATTTAGAAAGTACCAAAATGGTTCAATAGAATTACAATTGGGAGATAAAGTAAAATTAATTTTTCTATATTTTTTTATACATTTCATACTTCTAAATTTTTTTTTTTTTTTTTTTTCTGAAATTCCTTTCACTTTTCAGATAGAAATGGTTAATGACAAAACTTTGAAAGATTTGAATTTTGAAAAAGAAGAAACATTTATGATATCCTAATGAACTTAAAAATAAATTAACATACTTATTTACCTTTAATAATTTACATGGTGCAAAATGATAAAAAAAAAAAAAAAATTAAAAATAAAATAATGAAATGAAAGTACCGCCATAGAGAAGCACATGTTTATAACAAATTAAAAAAAAAAAAAAAAAAAAAAACAGATTCTACTTTTTAACTTTATGATAAAAGTTAGAATATTTTATTCGTCATATTCATTTAATCAGTTAAAATAAGAAATAATTCCTTTTAATATACTATTTTTTTTTTATGTATATGAATATTTTTTTATTTTATTACTTTTTTTTTTTTTTTTACTAGTTTCTATTTTTGTTTAACATTTTTAAAAACAGAATTGAATATTGATTACAACATTATTTCTCAATTTTTTTCAGAAAAAATTTCATTTATTATTTAAACTACTGTTTTCCAAAAAAAAAAAAAAATCTACATTTAAATGTGCTAATAAATTATATGAGAGAAATAGTATTAGGACATCAATCAGTTTTATAAAGTGCTTCTTTTTCTTTTTATGAGAAAAATTAATTGAAAAAAAATTTCTCTTTTTTATTAAAGTGAAATTTCTTTTCATAAAATAAATTTAGGTAAACTTTTTTTTTTTTTTTTGAAAAGCATTTTCTGCTTATTCTTCTTTTAATATAAAATTTAAAAAGATATAATGGTTCACAAAAATTAAAAGGAGTAAATTACTTTATTGGAGAACATAAAAAATTATTAAAAATTAAACAATTATAACACTATATAAATGCAAGTGTGAAAACTTATTTTCCAAATAAAAACATCACATGTACTAATATAAAATATCAATATATAATCTATTGACATATTTTTTTTTTTAAAAATTGGATGATTCCTATGCTTTACTATTTCTATGTATACAAAATATATAAATGCATATGTAAAAAATTAAAAGAGAATATAAAAAAAAAATTAATAAAAAATATATATATATATATATATACAAAAAAAGAAAATTTTTTATACTAATATATAAAAAATATAAAAAATACTAAGAACATTAAAATGATCACTTCTATAAATATGAAAAGTATCCACTCATTTAACTGTCATTATCTACAATAATTTGTTCTACTTGTTTTAGAATTGTTGGATTTTGAAGATTTTCATCTTCAGTTTGTTCTTTCTCAGGAATTTCTTCGGGTACTGGTGAATCATCAACTTTTTCTTCTGAATCTGTTACGCTTGCTGATTCAGATTTTTGTGTCTCATTTACTTCAACATTATTTGGTGTGTAATAATCTTCTGGATATTGAAGTTTCCATGGGTAATATAAAGGTGCTTCTTCAAATTCACGATTAAATCTATCTAAATTTCTTCTTATATTGATAAATTTGATAGTACCATATATGGCATTTGTTAAAGCAACAGTACCTAGATATATTATATTACTTAAAGCTCCGATCCATCTTCTTGCTTTTCTATTTTGTTCATAACCATTATCTACATAAACATTAGTTCCATCAGGATTTTTACTTTCATCATCTAGTAAAATTTTAAAGACATCTCCTCCTCTTGGTTCTTCATAATATGAAATTTTCTTAGATTTTAAAAATGGATAAGATATTCCTTGAATGGTATTCATACCAAGGAATCCTGCAAGAAAATATGTATTTACAAGAGAAAGTTTGTAAGTTCTTTTCCAACTACTGCAACTTAAATTAAGTTCAAAAGTTTCCAAATCTCTTTCTAAAATACAGAAACGACCTTCTTTACTATCTCTAACTGCTAAATGAAAATCATATACTTCAGAAAAAGATTCAAATGGAATTGGCCATATGAAAGAAGATTGGTTATTCATTAAAATATTTACATTATCTATTATTGTAACTCTAAATTGTCTACCATACTGAGAAATTGGATTTCTAAAAACATCAATACTTACTCTAACACTCCATGGTGGTGCAATAAATTCTACAGTCTCAAAATTTTTTGGTATTAATAAGGCATTTGAATCTTTTTTTTCACAGACAACATAACCTTCAAAATTAGCTGGTAAAACGATTTTTGGATCAACTGCATTGGAATAATTGTTACTTTTCATAACAGGTAAGGGGTTAACAAAACGAGAACTTTGAGCTAATTGAATATGACTAAATAATACCTCATTATATGTTGCACTACCTGTTTGCTGTATTAATGTTTGCTTTTCTACAGATACTTCAAGTATCTTATTTCCTTCATTACATATAACTTTATCATTATGTACTTTTATATCTATGCTATTAAAATTTCCATCAAGAAGTGATATATCTATCCATCCATTTGTATCATAGCCTTTCTTTTTCGCAAGAAAATTTATTAAACTATTTCGTGGACCTTGAAAAAATTTTCTTTTATCGGTTCTTATATTATATTCTTTTGCTAAAATATTCAATACAAAATTTAAAAATAATAATAAAACAACAGTATGCTTAACTGATTTCATCTTTAAAATTGAAAAATGAATGAGAAAAAAAAAGGTTTTAAAAAAAAAAAAAAAAAAATTTAAATACAACTTTTATACTTTATAAAATCTATAATTAATAACATACACATATATATGTTTTTAAATAATTTAATTGAAATTATCAAAAAAAATTTAAAATCTGTAATAAATATTTATACTATATAATAATAATAATAATACTAAAATTTTACACGTTTAATAATACTATTATTTAAAAAAAATAAAAAAATTTTATATATATACGATAATGCGTATATATAGTTTTTTACATATATATATCAAATTAAATATTTAATTAATAATAGAAAAACTATAATAGATACTAAAATATCTTAAGATTACTGAAAATTTAAAAAAAAAAAAAAAAAAAAGAGAAAAATTAAAAATTATATGAATATAACAAATTAAATATTAATATTTTTATTTTTAAAACTCTTTAAATATTTTTATATATTTTTTTATTCTTTTTACAATTTATATAATTTATTAAATTTAAAAAATCGCATTTCTAGGATAGATTATATGTTTAAAAAATGAATTTTTGTGTTACTGCATGAGTTGCGAAAAATAGTACCATTATTGTAAAAAATGCATAAATAATTTTAAAAATATTTAGAAAAAATTTAAAAACAATTTTTCAAAAAAAGAACAATAAAATTATTTTTTAAAGATTAATAAAAATTAAAAAAAATTAGTATTACAATAATATTTTATTTTTTTTTTAAAATAATTATTTTTACTTTTCTAGATATTTATATAAAATTCTGAATAAAGCATTTCAAAAAATATAAAAAAAATTTTAAGTACAAAAACGCATCTTTTTAATAAAAATTTAAATGAATATATTTATTTTTTGTAAAATTTTAGACGATACTAATTTTTTAGAACTTGTAAACGCAATGGTTTTTTTAAAATTTTAGGATATAATATTCAAATATGCACCCAAGAATATGTATTGATATTTATATCTTAAAAATATTAACAAATATTTTTTATCTAATAAAACAAGTTTAATATATATACATATATGTATATATATTTAATATACAATATTCTTTTTTAGCAATGTTTTCAATAAATATTTTATTTTTTTCTCTTATTTTTTTTTTGCATGCTTCAATAAATCCTAAAAAATATTCCACTTTTTTTATCTTTTTTCTTTTTTGAGAAAGGAATAATAATTTTTTATTATTCTATTTATTTTTTTATTTTATTTTTTCATTTATATTAATTAAATGTTATAAATAAAAAATTTTATAATAAAATGGTTTTATTTTTTTCAAATTTTGCAAGATATGATTATTAGATATACTAAGAGTTATTATAAATATTATTTTTATTGTAAAACAAAAACTACTAAAAAAGATACTGAAATCAGCATTTTTTGAAATTTTGCATAATTAAAATATACATTCGTTTATTTTATATAAACAAAAAATTGAAACATTATAAGAATTTAATGTTACTAAAAAAAGATAGGAAACGTATGGAATAATATAAAAATGCTATATGAAGTATTTGTATGAATATATTAACAGTTGTCCTAATTATGAAAATTATTAGTAAAATTATAAAATATAATAGTCATTATGATAAGAATAAGGATTATAAAACATTTAAATTTATCCTTAAAAATAGAATTTAGTTTATTTATATATAATTTCTTTATTTAGAAAATATGCTTCTCAGTAAAATTAACTGAAAATTTTATATGAAGAAAGTTTTATTTTACGACGTTAAATACTTCTTCATCATATTAACAAATGCATTGTAATCTGCAGATTGATTTGCATCTTCTAAATTTAAATAAACTTTACATAAATATAACAATGAATCTTGTGAAATATTAATATTGCATAATCGTAAAAATCTTTTTAAATCATTTGTATTTATTACATTATTTGTTTGTATACATTTAAAGAAATCTTTAAATATAATTTCCAATTCATGTTTTTTTAGTTGTTTATTTATTAATATATGTAATATAGAAGGACTTAACATAAAATTTTCAACATAATTAAGTTTATTCCATTTTATATCTGCTTTTATATTTTTTATTATCTCCCTTATGTTTTCATCATTTAAATCTTGAGAAAGGATTTTATTAAAAATTTTTTTGCAGTCATTTTCAGAGAGTGTTGCACTGTTATCTTTAGAAAAATATTTTAGTGCACGAATTAAACATTGTGCATCAAGTTCCAGTTTATTCATTTTTGCTTTCAAAAAAAATAAAAATGCAATCTTTAAAAATAAATAAAAAATATATATATATATATTAAGCTTATTATTATAATTAATTTTTTAATTTTATTCTTTTTTTTTTTTTATACTAAAAAATTTATACATAAAATTATATTTTTGATAAATTTTTTTACTCAGAAGTTTGAACTATTTTTATGTATTATTCTTCATTCCTCATATATTTTGAAATTTTTTGTCTTCTTTAACATATTTATTAATATTTCCTAAAAAGGAGAAATTTCCTTTTTATTTTACAACACATTCAGTTAAAGAATAAAAGAAAAAAAAAGAAAATGAGAAAACCTTTTTAATAAAACTAAAATTTTAAAAAAAAATTTTATCTATTTTTATTAATCTGTCATTTTTTTTCGAGTTGCAATTTTAATAATATTCAAATAAAATATATAATTTTAAAAAGCAGTATGCACATTTTAATTTTGAAAAAAAAAAAAAAAAATTTATATTTTTAAATGTTTAAACAACTTTTACATTGGTAACAGATATATTTTTAAAAATATAAACTTCAGAAAAAAAGATGAATTTTCTTTTATTTAAAACAAATTACACAAAAATTAATATTTTAAAAGTTAGCTAATTAAAATTATTTTCATATGTATACGATATTTACATATTTTTTTTTAATTTATTTTGTTTAGAATTATATATTTCACTGTTTAAAAAATGTAACATGTTTCTTAATTTTATGTTAAAAATTTTTATATTTAATATTTTTAAACTTAAATATGTTGGAACTTGGTATTTTTAAAAATTAAATAAAAGAAATTAAAAGTAGAATTTTAAAATTACAAAAATATAAAAACAAATTAATTTTTATAAATTATTTGCAAAATTAAAATTAAAAATAAATTTAAGTACATGCACAAACAATAACAAAATATAAAATTAAAAAGAAAAAAAAAATTTCATTATATTTATTTAAAATAGGAAATGAAAAAAAAAATAAAAGTGGATATAAATATATAACGAATAAGAACAATGTACGAAACATATTAAATAGAATTATTATATATTTATTTAAAAATTTTAATTTTTTTTTTTTTTTTTTTTTTTTTTATATATGTTGTCTTTTTGTTATTATAATTTACCACTTTAAAAAGTTTTGTTTTAATTTTATTATATGTCTTTATCGAGAATATGCTATTTCTTTCAGTTGATTGGGTATTGGTTGATTAGTTTTATTTAATAATTTAATTAGTTCTTTTGCGAACTTTAGTTTTTGAGGTACGTAATAATCATAAGAAAAAAATAAAATTGATTTTCCCTTTTTTCCAGCCCTTCCAGTTCTTCCAATTCTATGTATATAATCTTCTATGGTATTTGGAACATCATAATTAATAACAATGGAAATATTTTTAATATCTAATCCTCTTGAAGCTACATCAGTTGCAACTAATATATTGCATCTATCACTTTTGTAATTATTTAATATTCTATCTCTCTCTCTTTGCTGCTTATCACCATGAATGGATAATGCATTGTATTGATGATATCGTAATTCTTTACATAAATTATCACAATTTCTTTTCGTATCACAAAATATTAATATTTTATTGTTTTCATAATTTTCTTTTAACCAATCTAGTAACTTTTTTTTCATATCAATTGATGGACTAATAATTACATTCTGTTCAATATTTTTATTTGCTGTCAGTTCATTTTTACCAATTTGAATTTTTATTGGGTCATATGAACAAAAGTCATAAGCTAATTTCCTGACTTGTTCAGGCCATGTGGCTGTCAAAAATAATAATTGTTTATTTCTATTAACTTGTGTCATTATTTTTCTTAGTTGTTTCTCAAAACCCATATCTAGTAATCTATCCGCTTCATCAATAACAACATAAATACTTTTTAATAAATTAATTATTCCATTTTCTAAAAAATCTAAAAGTCTTCCTGGTGTAGCAACAATTATATCTGCTCCCTTCTTTAAATTATTAATTTGAAAATACTTTGGTACTCCTCCATATATTGCAACACTTTTTAAATTTAAAGTTTTCTCAAAAATTTTTATCTCATCTAGTACTTGCATACATAATTCTCTTGTTGGCAATAATATTAAACCGTAGGTGTTATTTTCCTCATATTCACTTTTCATATCATTTTCTAAATAATTATTTACATCATTTTTATTGATCTCTGAAGTATGACATTCTTCTCTTTCTTCTTCTATTCCATTCTCCTTCGAATCTAAATTTTGTTTGTTTATCTCCATTTGTTTGTGTTTCATTATATGCATAAGACATGGTAAAACATATGCTAAAGTTTTACCACTTCCCGTTTCAGCAACACCAATCAAATCCTTTCCTGATAAAGCTATTGGCCATGTAATTTTTTGTATAGCTGTTGGCTCATTAAATTTACTATTTAAATAATTTAATATGGATTCATGAAAATTTAAATCAGAAAATTTCGTAATAAAATTGTTGATTGATAAATCTTTATTCACAAATATATTATTTTTTTTTAGTTCATTCTGCAATTCTTCATTTGATAAATTCTTTAATTTATTATTATTGTATAAATTTTTTCTTTCTATATTAACTTTTATCTTATTCCATTCAATATCTTTTAAATTACTTCCTAAATTTGAATATCTATCAGAATTATTTAAATTTCTAGAATAATTTGATATTTGATCATCATCATCTTTATATGAATTGTTATATCTTTTTCTATTTTTTTCATAATTATTGTACTTTCTATTTTTGTTATTAATAAATCCATTTTCACCAATGTGACTTTTTTTTATTTCATTTCTATCAAAATTTTTGTAATTTTTAAAATTTTCATTTAAATTGTCACTATTAAAATTTTCTTCTAATAAATCATCATTTTTGAAATTATCACTTATGTTATCATACTCATTAATTTTCCTTCCTTGTGTATTTCCAGTAAAATCTTCTTTTAAATCATTTTCAAAATTTTCATTTAAATAATTATCAGAATTTTCATCTACATCATTTAAATTGTTTTTTAAAGGATAATCATCATTAATATCATTTTTAATTTTATTTTCAGTAAATATACTTTTGCTCATTATATTACTTACTGATTGTCTATTTTTAATTACATTTTCTTCATTATTAATTATATTGTTTCCTAGTTTTTTGATTGAAGTATTAAATTTTGACGATCTATTTTTTATGAATAAAAAATTCTTTGAAAAAAAATATTTCCCATTAGTACTACATTTGATTGACTTCAGCTTCAATATGTTTCTCATATTTTTTGACAAAAAAAATAAGAAAGAAAAAAAAGTTAAAACTAAAATACCCTTAATTTTTAATTAATTTTCAGTTAATAATTTTGAGAAGAATTATTTTGTATATTCTATTTATACATATTTATAGTTTTTTAGAAATTTACATATATTCATAAACATTTAAAAATATTTATTTTGAAAAATTTAATAAAAAAGAGAAATTCACAATTCTAATATTTCTATTATATAAAAAGATGTTTCTTTTCTCTCTTTTTCTTTTTATAAATTGTTTGCCTTATTTATATTTTCATTTAGAATTTATTTATTTAATTTTTTTTTTTTTTTTTTCTTCAAAGTTCTTAAAGTTTATTAAAAATTAAAACAATTTACAATATATCTATTAAAGAGAAATTATGTTTTTCAAATTATAAAATTTTAATGATGAATAACGAAATTTAATATGTGCTTAAAAAAAAAAATTCAATTTACATATATATATATAAGTATAAATATATATATAGATATAAATATATATGTTTTATAAATACGTTTAAATAATAAAAGTTATATATATTTTTTTTTTTTTTTTTTTTTTTTTTTTTTTTTTTTTTTAATGATAAGAAATTTTATAGCTTACAAAAAGAAGTATATAATTGTGCATATGTATTTTCTGTTATAGATAAAATATTTAAATGAGAAATACAAATCTTTATAAAAGAAAAAAGTATTTTTAATCTATTAATTATCATTAATGTAAATTTTATGTTAAATGAATTTTTTTATAATTTTTTTTTTTTTAATGTTTTACAATTTAATATTTCTTTTATATTCATTTTATTATCCTTGAGAATTGTTTGTAACTAAATTTAAAGATACAAACATCTATACTTAATAATTATTTAAATAGTTCATTAAAAATTTCTTAATTATATTTACATTAAACTTAAAAAACTAATTATCCTTAATTATTTTTGGATATAAACGAAATTACTTTATAAAAATATGTAAGAAAGATTAAATGAAATTTTAAAATTTTCTAAGCTATATAAATAATTCACACTTTAGGCAGCAAACACTTTTTTTTACTTCTTATTTTTAAAAATATTAAAAATATTATATATATTGACACATGTTTTTTATACTATAGATGTTTATTATTAATCTAATAATTATTAATTGGTATTTTTTTTTTTTTTTTTTTTCTTTTTTTTTTTCTTTGTTTTGTATTATATTCATTAAAAGAAAGATACTGTTTTTAATCATATTAGAATAACCTACTATTTTAAATTAATATAAATTTCACATATAGTTATTATATGCATACTTTGTTTTCAGATATATATATATATTAGTAGCTAAATTTTTTACTTTATTTTTTTTTTTTTAATATGTATACTTATAGCTGTAAATATTCTCTTTTGCTAATAGTTAAATTAAAGAATAACATTTTGTAAATAAAAAAAAATTAATATTCCAAAAAAAGAAAATTTTTAATAAATGAACTTTCTCTTAAAATATAAAGCATTTAAATTTACTAAAAAAGCTACTGTTAAAAAAAAAAAAAAAAAAAAAAAAAAAAAAAAAAAAAAAAAAAAAAAAAAAAAAAAAA